CAAACCGGCAGAAAGTAAATGTATTCAAACGGGTTAATAATATGCCATTTTATTCACAAATTCTGTGCTCGGTTTCAGAACGCTCAGAGACTGGCAAGAAATATTGTAAAAGTCAGTAAAGGGCTGGCGCATGTGGTGAGAGGATCCGAACACTATGCAGTCATATGCTTACTCTTCTGATTTATGATATAGATCATATTATTTATTGGCGTAGAAATTAAAGCTTTATGAATTCACTGCTGCTGAAAATACCAGCCAGATCGCAGGCTCACGACGGCGCTCTCCTCTCGGTGACACTGTTCACTTTCTCCTTGTTTGTGCACTTGCACTTAAGCTGTATGGTCTTTCTTCAGCGGGTCGGTAATTACTCGGTAAACTTGATGAATCATTCCCGCTGTGCACCTGATCAATGCTCCTTACCATGGAATGGCAATACTGTTGAGAGCCATTATTGTGATGGTATAGTATAAGGAGCATTGCCAGTGACTTGCAGAAAGGGAGCGGAAGCCGTCAGCCGACCACCCGACCTGCAAATCATGAGATTTATAGAAAAAGCTTGATGATGACTTATAAAACGTATTCTTTTATGTTATTTTGAAACCAAAGTGGTGCAACAGTAGTCGTAGTGCTGGTCGGGGTGTTGGTCGTGGTGGTGGTCGCGGTAGTGTTTGATTCTGTTGTAGAGGGCTCTGCAGTACTTGATTCTGCTGTGAACGGCTCTTTTGTAGTAAATTCTGTTGTAGACGGCTCTTATGTAGTAGATTCTTTGTAGATGGCTCTTCTGTGTTTAATTCTGTAGACGGCTCTTCAGTCGCGATCGTTTTGTGAGAGAACCACGGAATGGTTCACCTATGGGAGGGGTTTTCTAGATCGTGGATGTATGTGCTCACAAAACGAAGACTCACCACCACTGCTACGAGCAGAAGAGTCCACGATCACATGTAGAAGAGTGATGTTACTCACATACCGCCTCCTTTTACAGAACCCTCATATTAATTCTGGGAAAGGAATAGAAGTGCAAATGTTATCAACAAATTGGCGACTATTATTAACAATTCTTTTTATTTTTGAATTACTTCTCAATGTCAGGAGGGCTCCCATCAAAAAATGTCAAGGGAACAAGAAGTTAGTACGGAAGGGACGGCGGTTTAGTTGGCTTCGGTTACACTGAATGTAAACCAGAAACCTTCGTAAAACTCTTCCGCGTTGTGGAACTTGAAGGAAAGCTTGAAATTAGCCTTTTTCTTTCCTGAATGATTATTGTTTATGCATGACTACTTGTGTATAGACTACAGAACAAACAACGTCGACAGTCAAAAGAACACAGTTCAGAGTAAGATCACATATCAAATGTCAGGGTGTAGAAAAGCGCTGAAAACTCTTAATCATCGTATCAGAAATTTCCGCAGCAATTTTGAGATTACCGTGGTCTACACCGAGCGCGTCAAGTAATAAACCTACTGCCGCTTCACCGTCCATCGCAACCGCTGTTCTCTTATTCAAAACCTAGTGACTGGGTGAGATTCATAACTTTGTCATGTTTTGCTGCTTATTGTGACTATTGGATTGGTCCATAAGTAATGGCGTTTTTTCTTACACAAATTTTTGTAGGCAAAGTGAGAATCGTTTTCATTGTTTTCTACGACATTCGATAGGTGGTTTCCCGCTCTACAGGATAATGCCTCCCCACTATTTTTTTATTTCTGTCGACTTTCATCCATTCAAATGGAACAGCAGCATTTGCGCTTTTCTCGGCTCTCAAATTACAGTAAAGCTTAAAACTTTATATAAATGATCGAGGAAAAATGATTCTTATCAACTTGTAGTTGGTTCAAGCGACTGATGGACGAGAATTCTTACCTTGTTAGCGTGCATCGCCTGGGGTGCCCTCTTGAGAAGCGAGTGCCTGCAGAACCTATCCCCAATTTTTGAACGTCGAACATCAGCCGTGGGTGATGCTTGACAGTAATCAAGAAACATTCCATAACTTCTGTCGCTCTGGTGTTCATTCCTTGTCTTCCTTCTCTTTTTTATTTCTTTGCAGAAGAATAAGGTGAGTTAGTAGCCTCTCAGCTGGATTAAATAGGGCATTAGGTTATCTGTGGGGTTGACATCCAAATCTCCGAATCGGTCAAACAATTGTAAGCATTTCTGAGAAGCATGGCCTCCTGGTATACTCAGCAACTAGGCATGTACGGTTTTACCTTCTACATGAGAATCAAAAAAAGAGGCTGACGAAAATGCTCATTTACAAGGAACTGACACTCCAGATTTAACGCTTGAATTTTACCAGAACAGAAATATTAGGTTGTTTTGTTTGTTTTTCGGAAAGGAATGCGCGTTGACTTTGTCTATTTATTTCTCTTCTACTATAGGAGATTTTTTCAAAACAGTTTCGTCCATTAGAAAGAGGTTTTTTTATTGCGCATCTTTTGATATATTTTTTCTATGTCTACCTTGTTTTTTTAAAGAAAAAGATTTAGAAAATGCTCGACCAAAAATTTCGAATGCGAGCTATGTGGTAAGACTTCAAGCAAGTCCTAACGACGCACTTGGGTGGACCTAATGACCCACTTGGCTCACAGGGGCAGCGGGCGGACCTAGCGACGCACTCGGCGAACTGGCAAAAAGAGGCTGTTTTGACTACATTTCCTCTCCGGCGGACCTAACGACACACCCGAGGGGAAAGGTAGTGAAAGAGGCTCTTTTGGCGAAGTTTTTGCACAGTTGGCAACAAGTCATTGCTAGTAATGGAGATTATCTTTTAGATTGACCTTGTTTAATTTCGTTTTTATAATAAAATTTTTTTACACTCAAACGCGCATTCCTTTCTGAACGACCTAATATCAAAACTGTCAGGACTATCGTTAGGAGTTCTCTGCGAAACAATATAAAGCTTAGTGCAAAACTTTTCACCTTTGACGCGATATTTCGAGTGGGAGACAACACCAGTGCTTATGGGCCAACCCTCCACTTGTGTATAGACAACTTCAAGTCTTCCAAACGCAGTTCACGATTCTCCATCGAGTCACAGCATGGTTGGAGCCACATGCGGCATTCTGTCGGAGTCACATTCTGATGCTCTCTTCCACAGAATGGTGTCGAGAAGGAATCCTTGCTATCAACCCATATCACTCCATATATATAATTCGCTTGTTTGTTTGTTTGTTGTAAGTTTGTCTGTCCGGAAATTCGATTGACCTGAAGAACAACTCGGAGAGATCGGGTCAAGGTGGGGATGGGTAGGGCATGGGACAGGAATAAAAAGCACACTTGACCTATGGGAAGCCCCGCCCAGAGCGGGGCTTCCCATAGGTCAAGTGTGCTTTTTATCGTTGAAAATTTGGGGTTCCGCAAAAATAATCATAATTCGCTTCCGGAGCAGCTTAAAGATGCGAAGAAAGGGAACAAGGTTAGTAAGAAGTCGCCAGACTAACTATAGAGGACACATCCAAAATGGGCGGAGCCTGCTCCGAGGTGGACGGAGGCAGACGAAAATTCGCGCAAACTGTCCCAGAGCACTTCAAAGACTGCAAAGAACGTGAATTAAGGTCAGCAGAGGGTCGCCGGTGGTGAGTAATCTGCTGTGATGTCATTAATAGTACACTCAATGCCATCACTACATCTTTCTCGATCCAGCCATCCATTCAATTCCAGCATGAGCGCAATTGAATTAGGAAAGCGGCGCAGTCGCGCGCTCGTGCGATCAACGCGTTCAACGCTCCTGCGATCGACGCATTTGAACGCTAGTGCGATCTACGCGTTGAAAGCTTGCAGGATCGATTGTGTAAAACTTGCGATCAAAGCACCGCCATCGCGAAGCCTGCGCTTTAGGTCGCATTGAACTAAAAGGAAGGCAGAGAAAAAGGATAAAAGTATTAAACTGAGCAGAGTTAACCGCCGTGCAGGTCATGTAAGTATTTAAAAAGTTGTCATTGCCAGGAATGCCGATAAGAGAGAATCTGTATCCTAATCCACAAATTCATCTAAACACGATTTTTTATTTTCGAACTCGAAAGAGCTAGGAAGGGAAGCAGGTATCCGTGAAGTTAAAACGAGGAAAGAAGCAGGCAGAGTTTGTCTTCGTTGCAGTAGGTGTCCTGAGGGCATGCAGAACAAACTGTTCCCACATTGTAGATCTTTTCGTTGAGCTTGTTACCTCTGAAAAGATGGTATATTGATCCACTGCTTCGAAATTTCGGCGGTAATCCAGGACACTCCAGGAAAGTAGAACGCCTAGTGCAATGGAAAAGCTGAATGAAATGAGCGAAGCAGGCGAACCCAGTCTTGTAGTGACAAACAACATTCCAGTACTGATTGTTGCAATTCACAACTGCGCAGCCCATGTACTGAGTGGTTGCCCATGCCATCTGCAAATCGCGACGTTTTGGGAATATTCAAATGAGATGTCAAGAAAGACGCTTTGTTAGTTGTTCAATGGGAACTCTCACAGCAGATCTTACCCTGGTGAACCATTTAGTCGGCTGACCCTGGTTCAATTGCGTGAAAGTGACATCCTGTCCATTGCCGCCAGTCACTCTAATTTAGCTCCACCACTGTTTTAGAGCCTGAACGCCCATTTATATTCTCCTGCTTTATCGCGCACTCAGTATTATATTAGATCAACTTACAACAACGAGGGCGTCGGGTTCAGTACTAGGTTGGCTCTTGCAGAATATATGAAGTTTTCTTGTACATCGGTAGGAAGACTCGGATTGTTTATGAAAGAACACCTTCCTGCAGATTCTGCGGCACTAGCTTCTAGTGAGCAATTGTATTCCTGTAAATTGATATCAAACATGATTCAATGAAGGGATTGCTGAGAAAGAGGCAAAGATTCTCAATAAATATGAACATGTGAAATACCAGTCGCAACATGTTTGTAGCTGCCGGCAAATTTCTCCCAGCTTTGTTTTTCACTTCTCCTCTTGCCAACCTCCCTCTAAAAAGCAATCTTCACGAAATGTTCCGCGAGCATACACGGATGCACTTCAGGTGCTTTACCTGCGGTAATTGTGTGCAGTTTTTGCCTTTACCCTTGTAGCGTCAACCATTCCAGTGTTCTGCGGACATATGCGATTGTCGGGGGCTGGAATGCTGGGAAAGTTGCGCAAGTTTTTTGTACGACCGTGCAATGGCAGCAGAGAAAAGATAAAATCTATATTTTCTGCTGTGAGTAGCTTGTACGACCATCGACGCTGTGAGTAAACGGCTTCCGTGTTTGCTTCGATGTTATCAGCCCGTTCACTTCTGTGTTTGTTTATCTGTGCAGAAGTCTACCGTAAGTCAGTCCAGTTCATGTCAGGGATGGATTTGGGCCGCGATCAGCGAAGCATGAATACAGCTGAAATCCTTCTAAAAACGTCAGAGGGATGGAGAAGGCACACAACTCGCTTGGGCACTCTATGAGTTGGCTACGAAAGTAGGTTACACCGTCCTGAGCGGTCCGAAGAATGGAGAGTCCGTTCGTGGAAAAGAGAAGCAAACGCTCTGAAATAACAAAGTGGAAGGGCTGCTGGGACACATCCACAGCAGCGAGCTCCGAGTTGGCAGTTGGAGCCGAATTCTTAGCTCGATTTGTCTGACCGGTAAAATAGTGTAAGCAGCATTGCCCAAAAATTTGTCAAGAGGAGAAGCGGAAAGCGTCAGCCAACAATCCGACTTCCTGTAGTTCATCATGATAAACTTGTGAGAACTCAGTACTACACAGCGTCATTCTTATAGTAGTGAGCTCGTCACTGACTGTGCTGCGCCCCTTCTCCGAACTTGATACACCTCTTTTCGGTGTCTGGAGTGGGCTGAATAGTTTTTAATTGCTGAGTTGAGCCAAGCCCACCTTTGCGCACACTCCACCCACTCTGACTGTATCTCCCTCTTTCCGGTGTCCCTTGGCTGTCCCAAAATCCTCTACCCGGTACCTGGGGAGCTTCGGGGCTGAAACGCAGCTTTCTGGAATGATTGATTCATGTTTGAGGCACGCCCCGCCCATTGTGGGCGGGTCTCGGCACAACGCAGACATACCCTACTTTCAGCAGGTTATCCACGTCTCCATGGGGCTTTTTTGCGACATTTGAGCTCTCTCGAGGAGCAATTTACTGATTCGTGGGAAGCATCGCACACCTCAATTACGCCCCCCTCTCATTTAGAAGATGTTCTCTCCACTTGGTTTCTCCGCCCTTTGCTAACCTCACCCCACTTCCCCCCCATCTCGGGACTGCCTCGAAGCGGGATTATAAATTTTCCAGTGGCACCGGAAGCAACGCTCTTTCAGTGCACGCCCCGCCCATTCCGAATGCGGGCCCCAGATTTAATCTGCCAACTCCTTGTTGGCTTCACCCCTTGCTTAACCATCTCTGGGTTGCAAATGATGAGTTTTGCACCGCCAGCTTTCCACCATGCTCCGCTCACTGCGGGTGAGGCTTCGCATGGGTCATGTCTTTCTTTACGTTTTTCCCTATGCTCTACCTATCCCAACCTCGACCCAGCCCCTCCAAGCTGCTGTTCAGGTAGAACCATATTATCGGAGGATAAAGATAGCAAACGGTGAATAAAAAGGATGCTGTCTTGAAACCAACAGGGAGCAACCGTAGATGCGATAGTGGTTGATTCAGTTGTAGTCGGCTCTTCTGTCGTTGTAGACGGCTCTTCCGTCGTTGTAGACGGCTCTTCTGTTGTGGTGTCGTTAGAGCTACCCTCTGTGAGAACCACGTGGTGGTTCACCTATAAAAGAGTTTTCCTTGATAGGAGGAAAGGCGCTTACGAAGGAGAGACTCACCACTACTGCAACGAACAGAAGGTTCCACCAGCACATGTTGAAGAGTGATGTTACTCAAATACCACCTCCTTTTATATGGACCCCCTATTAATTTTGTGAAACCAGTAAAAGTGCAAATATTATTAAAACATTGTCGACCTAGCGCTTTTCTGCATGTTTGCCACGTTTGACAAGTCCGTTCGGTTTTTCTTCATGTTTGAAAATGTGTTCCAGAAGGAGGGCTCATCATCACATCAATAACTGCAAAGAGAGGTAGAACATAACGCAGAAGTTATCAAGGTTTCGTTCACATTCATCATGTGTCACAAATCTTGCCAATGTATTTCCAAACGGTTGCAGGTAAAGGCTCTGGCCAAGCTTGAAAACAGCCATTATATAGAATTATTATAATAATTTATTACATACATGCTTCTGTCTAGAAAACAGAATAAATAACAAGGCTCAAGACCATAACTCAGACGGAGCACCGAATACCGACAAGGCGTACTGTATTAATGTATATAAGATATAAGCGTTGTTGCGAGCAAGAGATCACATAGGAATGCAATTTGATGCGTTATGGACAACATTTGCCTAAGACTTTCCTGAAATAATTCTCCTCCAGCAATTTCTTGAGCATAATGTAGCCTAGCCGTATCGCCTCCTTCTTACTTGGCTTCTCGAACAAAGGGAATACTTCGTACGTCCAAAAGATGAATACCAACACGAATAATAGATAGTCTCAACGACACAAGTTTTCAGCGCAATCTCGCGTATGGGATTGTGAAACGCAAAAATTCATTTCTCCTGAACCTTCTTTTGGTACTTGCCTGTTCCAAAATCGACCAAAGGTGATTGAGAATCATAAATCATAAAGAAACCATAGGTACCGGTCGTGTCATGAGTTCCCTTGTGAAACTGTTTACCTTCCCCAATATATCTCTCACGTGAGCTTGTAAGGGCTGAGCCCTGGAGTCCCATATTGCCACGTGCACAGCTGCTTTTCTGGTTTTGATAAACACGGAAGTCTGTTGTGACGAAATGCTATCATCAAGAGAATCATCAAGAGAATGCCAATAGATTTACGCAGAAGTTATTGAGGCTTCGGCTGGTTCCCATCACACTAATCATAGGCCCCAGCACTTTTTGTCAGGAGTGAAGGCGGGCATTTTCCTTGCGCGGAGTCAATTAATAAATGTATGTAAGAGAGCCTTTTACTGACCTCGTACCCCTACATTGTGATGTCTTACTCCATGCGACAGAAAAGCATACATTTCAGCATTGGGACCCACTCATTTGACTGCGTCGCCAACGTTTCAATTTTTCGAGAGTGCAGAGCGGGTCAACATTGCTTTGAAAAAGCAAAAGGATCCCCTTCTTCTTTCCTGTGGGAGGAGTCATATCCTATAAGGCACATGTCATCTCGTGGCGAAAAGCCGTGGAGATCTTGGAATTTTGGTCGATCCGATTGGTTGTAGATGTCTCGGAAGGGTAGTGGCTGCCGATACCGCAAGTTTGCACCACTCCAACGCGAACACTTGATACCATCTTAGTAGGTTCACGAAGGGCAAAATACTTCCTTTTTTTTTTCCATAGGTACCACACCATCAACAGTAGGTGCAGCAAAAAACGGGGGGGGGAATTCCCAGAGCTCCCACGAAATTCAGAAAATTGGTCCTCGAGGGAGGTCAGAGAAGCAAGAATTTTGAGAGACGAGAACGATCTGCCGAAAGGTCAGCGAAGGGTCCACGGGAGAGGGAGAAACACCTAGAGTGGGCAGAAGCATGCTGAAATGTGGGCGAGACCCAACCCAAAAAACCTAGACTAATAAGTAAAGAAATAAATTAAAACTAATTTCAGAGCTTTCGAGACCTCGGGGAGAAGGGAACTAAGGCCAGCGATGGGTCAAATGGGAAACAGATCTGTAGTGGAAGGAGTGTGCGCCAAGGCAGGCTTGGCATAACTCAGGAATCAAAACAACGATTCTACACCACTCTAGACATGGGAAAAAAAGTGTATTGATGTCAGCAGGGAGTCACCGAAGGGGAGGAGGGAGATACACCGCGAGTGGGCGGGACGTGAGCTTGGCCTAATTTAGAAATTGAAAAAACTATTCTACATTCAGACAACGGAAAGAAGTGTGCTACGGTCGGCGAAGGGTCAGAGCAGCGCCGGCGGCGAGCCGACTGCTATGCTGTGTAGAGCATCCAGACGTTTCATAAAAATTTGTCATGTCGACCTACAAGAAGTTGGATCTTCGGCAGACGATTCCCACTCCTCCTGTGAAGGAGCTGTGGGTTAGTGCCCTTATACCATTTTCTCCGATATCTAGAGAAACCGAGTTAAGAATTTGGTGCTTCTACTGCCAACTAGGAGCCCGCTGACGAATGGATGTGTCCCAGCACCACTCCGTCCTGATTTTTGCTCTAATGCTTTCGTTTCTCTTCTCTGCGAACGTTTCTTCCGCACTGTCTCAGGACTGAGTAATCTGTAGCAATCGCCACTCATTCAGAGTGCGCCTGGCATATTGTGGGTCTTCTCCATTCGTTCGTCAGCCCATTGACTTTTTCGGGATGGGCTGAGTTGTGTTCATGTGTGCTTCCCCGATTGCGGTCCATATCCATCCCAGACAAGATCTGGACTGTCTTACTGGGTAGATTCCTGCACAGATAAACAAACATAGAAGCAAACGCGCCGACAACTTCAAAAAAACATGGAAGCCGATTATATGAGGGTCATACAAGCTGTTTTCTGTAGGAATTATAGAGTTCATCCTTTTCTTTTTTGCCAGCACGATTATACAGAAAAATTGCGCAACTTCCCCACAATTCCAGTGCCCAACAACCGCATATGCCCACAGAACACTGGTATGGTTGACTCTACAAGGGTAAATTCAAAAACTGCACACAATTTCCGCAGGTAAACTACTGAAGAGTATCCGTGCATGCGAGGGGATTCGATGGGATCTTATTCTTTTCCAAATGCTCAATAATGACCCTCTTGACAACTTTCTCAAAAACACTACAAAAAACGGAAGTAATACTGACCGGTCCATAGTTGTTCGAAATGGTGAGCGGAATAGGAGTTATGAAGGAATGCTTCCACTTATTAGGAGCTACTGCTCGGAAGAGACTTAAATTGCAGATAAATTGAAGTGGACCCGCAATTGATGGGAGGACTTTGTTGATAAAACAGAGAGGAACGCCGTCCGGGGTGAGCGAGAAGACTTCCACTTTGAAAGAAGTTCAGAGATTTCTTGTACACTGAACCATATGAAGTCGTCAATTCGGGTGAAAGAGTCAGTCCATTCATCACAACCCTCTACGTGGCCACCATCTTCTACAAAAACTTACCCAAATATAATAGGTTGATGCATATGTTCGTTACCCCGACTTGCATATGTTTGTAGCCCCGACTTTTTGCAAATATCTCGATAGCGAACCAGCCTGAAGATTAGTGGTATACACCATCACCATCCACTACTCGACGCCAACGCCAAGGCAGCTCTTGTTGCTCCCAGAAGGACGGGGGCTGGGATCTGAAGAAGGTCACAATGCCGCACAATCACCACTGTGACATGATTTCACAGTGGTAATTGTGCGGCATTGTGGCGTGCAAATGCAGGGTGGATGAGTGATAGCTAGTGTGATGAAAGAGTATCATGTACACGTCACGCACAAATGATGACGAAATACCAGCATCCATGCAAACAAAATAAGGAATGATCAAATTCACAAAAACTCGGAGTTAAACATATGCATCAACCTAGTACATCTGCAAAATGCTCTGCTTTATCAGCATCCGACACTGGGATAATCCCGTCAGGTCACACCAAAGCATTGATCCTTTCCTCTGATTTGATTTTCTAATTGATATATTTGTAAAGGGCAATAGCATACCATTTTCAATGACTTTCTTTTCAATATGGCAACTGTATTTATACATTTTCTTCTCAAACCTCGGTTACAATCTTATATAAATCCCAATCCTCAGAAGTATCAGATACATTGCCTTCTTGTATGCCTCAACTTTTTTTACGAAAAGTGCATTCAAAAATGGCGGAATATGCGTTAGGCTTTCCCTGACCCGGCGCACAGGAACGTACTTATCAAGGATTTGGTTCGAAACGAACAGCAGCATCTCATCTACCTTATCTACTTCCCGCCGCTGCAAACGCTAGTGAAACGCTAGATCGACACCTATACTTTCCTTGCCCTCGTTAAGCTTGCGTGCACTAGCGTTACGCTAACGAAACGCTAGAATACTCTAGCTGCCGCGAAGTGTGAACGCACCCTTATTTAGGGCCATACACAACCTCAGAGTGATTCCCGAACATTTTCGTTTCCCATTTTCGGGGATGAAAATGAGAGACGAAAATTTCGGGGAAAATCATCTTATATTCCCCAGCATGCTGTGAGCGCAGAAAATCTGTTTTGATCTTTCTCTAAAAGATTTTCACCATTGCGTCAGCAGATAGAATGAACACGCCAATTTTCCGGAAGTTCACGTCACTGAAGCCGTGGATTGAAAAGTTTGTAAAAGCCGTTGCCTCAATTCCAATGTTATTCCCAGAAAAAAACGCTTTTACAGTTTTTTAACGGCCACCGACTGGCACGCCGCAATACATCACTGAAAATTACAGAAGTGCTCTTTATCATGTTGTGTTTTATCATGTTCTTTATCATGTTTATCATGAGGGCCTCTACCTCATGCCAAAGACGAGTCGTCTTAGCCCACGAGCCTATTCCATCGTTCGGGTTATTTAGGAATTCACTAACTTTTTGAATCGGCTTGTCTGAGCGTATGCGTGTATTATGGTGTCCGGAAGTTTTGAGAATCCAATCAGTTCATTTAACACCTATGAACAACAGCAAGAGATAAAAGTAAATAGATGTATTAAACATTGTCTATTTCATTTCCCTTATTTTGGGCGGGAATGCTTTGTGTCGGTGTGCCGCTGCGCCCCGGAAAGCACTTAGCACGCGCGCGATCCTGAGGTCTAGAAGCGAATCGGTTTCTGCTCAGGCGAACCAAGCCAACTGCATCCTAGGAACGGT